GGGAAAGAGCCAAGGGGATGCACCACGCATGGAGGTTTAGTGTTAATGTAACCGAGCCCTGAAAGCGAATCTTTCAAGGGGCTTTTCCAAGCGAGGAGCTGGGAGTTTGGGTGACCCAGCACTGAGGGATCGAGGGCAGAGCTCGACCCACGGGGATGGGCAGCGGCTGGGGGCCGGGGTCTGTACAGGCGACGCAGCGTAAGAAGCGCCATAGCTGCCCTTAACTCACTTGGAAAACCGAAAAAAAAACAAAACCCAAAAAAAAAACCCAAAAAATAAAGAAATAACAATCCTGATCGGCCCCCGCTCGTCAGGGACTGGGTTAGCGTGGGCAGTCTCTCCGGCTGCGAGCTCGCGGTTTGCCCCGTGTCCCACGGCCAGGCCGGGCCATCATCTGCCTGCAGACTGCGACTGTGGAGCCATGATGACGTGCGAGGGCACGGGCCCGCTCAGCTCTGTCCTTTGGCTGGCCATCTGCGTCAGCACCGAGGTGGCCACCGCCTCCGCCGCCGAGCGCACGCTGAGCCCGTTGGGGGACCCCGTCACGGAGCTGTGCTGGATGACGGCAGCGGGGGAGCCGGTGGGCTCCGAGCTCTCCTTTGGGCTTTCTGCTCGGCCGGAGAAGGAGGGGATGGGGAAAAAGAAGAAGAAAATAAGGTTAGAGAGAGGCTGCGTGTGTCAGCAGCGAGGAGAGGGGATGGGAGCTGCTCCTGCCTCGGAGGGGAGGTGGAAAATTGGGCTGGTATTTAATTAACGTTCACCTTTCCAGCCCGGAGAGGAGGTCTAGGGGCAGCTCCCCATACCAAGCTGCTGCCCCCTTGCCAAAAAGCAAATGAGGATTGGAAATTAAAGTGATTAGAGTTGGGCTGTAATGACCCATCGGATTCGTCCCTTGGAGGAGCAGCACCGAATCTCAGCGAATTCACACCCTAAGGATGGCAGACCCAGCCCGACCTTTATCATAATAAATCTGTTTCCTCGTTATAACAAATTAACTTCCCTACGTGTTGTTTCCTGGCGTGCTACTTGGTTCAAGGCCATTTAGCCCAGAGACCGAGCAGCTCCTTCCTTGTCCTCGCCATCTGTTGGGTGAGCGCACGGCAAAGCGCGACACAAACCCTGCTGCAAAGGCTTGGCCTCAGTTTTTGACAGAAATTACCTGGTTCGCTCTTTATCGTTCTCTAGAACATTAAAATCAATTAGAGCCCATTACAAACTGTTTGCTTGCTCGACTTCTTTCGGGGACTTGAAGCCATTTGAGTGAAGGGAGGGGAGGAGAACAAAGGCAGGGAGCCTCCGTCCGTGCCCCTTCCCGAGCGACGCCGATCGGATCCCAAAAGTTTGGATCCTCTCCCACAAACAGCCCCCTGCGTCCGGGCAGAGCCTCGAAGGCGGAGGATAATTTGTGACCTATCAAATGCCAAGGCGAGAGCAATCAGCCCTCTCTCTTTGGGGGTATACACTCATTATCTGCAGATGTCAGGAGGAAATTCCCTCCTGTGCACTTGGCGAGATGAATTACGGGCAAGATGCGGTCACCTTCCTTTAAAAGAGCAAAATAATGGCATGAGCCGGGGTACTTCTTCCACGTCAAGAGGGTAAACCCCATGACAGCGGGGGGAAAAAAATCAGAGAAGAGGTTTACAACCTTTTTGGCCACTGGGAAATAGTGAATATTGGGTATTGCAGCCCTTTCCCAAATGGGTTTTACCTTCCCTTGTGGAACCTTGGCTTGGTGAAAGCCGCGGCCAGCGCAGGAGATCTGAGAACCGACTTGGCGGCGAGCGAGAAGGTCGAGCAGAGCAATAGAACAGTTTGGCACCCCAAAAAGGAGATTTACAAGGTATTACCAATAAAACAACCCGACTGTACATGAGGCAGCTGTAATTCCAGCGAGGGAATCTGGCATTTTTGTTTAAGGACCTGCTTAGTCACAAATCTCAATAATAAAAAAGGCAGCCGGGGATGGAGTTGGGGGGGGAGAGGGTGGTGGTGAAACTGGGAGGGAGGTGTGAATTTCATTTTTATTATTCAGATGTGTGATGAATTCCTATTATCGGAGCCGACGGCCTGCGAGGAATAATAACAGGAACTGTAAACTGGGGGGAGTTAAAGAGGAAAAATCCTGTCGCCTCTCAGCGTTCTCCACGCAGCGAACACCTGGCTGCGAGGGAGACGGCGAGGCTTTTCACGACCGCATTACTCAAGCTTGGAGCCGCTGTAACGAGTGAAAATAAACCAGGGCTTGGGTATTTGTGTGTTTGTGCCTCACCGCACAGGCACAGAGCAGTTCAGAGAGCCAGGAGATGGGAATTGGGCTGCAGTCAGGAAGGACAGCGCCTGTTTTCTTGGTTTCTGCCATTTTTCCTTAGCCCTGCCTCTCGTCCCGTTAACGCAGGCGACGCTAGGGGACCCCAGCATCCTCTTCTGCGCAAATCCCGCAGCGCTGGAATCGTTATTGCGGAGATGACATAAGAATCCAGACATAATGTTTCGCTCCCGGGTTGATTATAATGAAATAGGCGGTGTTAAAATAATAATAATAAAAAAAAAAATCATGAAAGAAAGGAACGATGATAAAAAAGGAGGCCGCCTGAGCTCCAAACCCGAGCCAATTTGATGTGAATTGCAGAGAATTGAGATATAGAGCCCCATGATGTCATTTATGGAGTCTGGCCTTTTCTGACTCTGGCTTTGCTTTCAGAGCAGCGATGGGTTTTAACTTCAAAGAGAAAATCAAGCGCTTGGCACACGGCCTGGGAGCGGGGCTCTGGATCTCAAATGCTCCGGAGACGCAGAGGGAGATGCACCAGCTCCTTCCCTCAGCTGCCCTCGCTGCCTGCTTGCAGGCTTGCTGCCTGCTCTCTGCTTGCGAGAGTGGTTCTCCTCCCCCTCTACTCTGCCCTGGTGAGACCGCATCTGGAATATTGCGTCCAGTTCTGGGCCCCTCAGTTCAAGAAGGACAGGAACTGCTGGAGAGAGTCCAGCGTAGGGCTACAAAGATGATCAAGGGAGTGGAGCATCTCCCTTATGAGGAGCGGCTGAGGGAGCTGGGGCTCTTTAGTTTGCAGAAGAGGAGACTGAGGGGAGACCTCATTCATGGTTATAAATATTTAAAGGGTGAGTGTCACGAGGATGGAGCCAGGCTCTTCTCGGTGACAAACAATGATAGGACAAGGGGTAACGGACACAAACTGGAACACAGGAGGTTCCACTTCAATTGGAGAAGAAACTTCTTCTCAGTGAGGGTGACAGAGCCCTGGCCCAGGCTGCCCAGAGAGGTTGTGGAGTCTCCTTCTCTGCAGACATTCAAAACCCGCCTGGACGCCTTCCTGTGTAACCTCATCTGGGTGTTCCTGCTCCGGCAGGGGGATTGGACTGGAGGAGCTTTGGAGGTCCCTTCCAATCCCTAACGGTCTGGGATTCTGTGATCTTAGAAACCAGGTTATAAAAGTGCTAATTTGCAGGGTAAATGCGCAGGTCCAGCCTGAGCGACCCTGCTCAATACAGAAAACACAGGACCAAGGTCTGTCCTGTGCCATCCGCAGGTGATGGAGCAGAGACTGAGATGAAGGCGCCCCTTCCTCTACATCTTATGCAGGTTTCATCGGCTTAAACCTATTTAAAGGGTAATAAGGACCAGCAAAAGCTGCCACTCACCGAGATAGCCCTGTGTTTTCTTCTGTAGTGCAGTGACGGGGCAGTCCTTGTGGGCCAGCAGGAGCTGTTTCAGTTGAGCAACTTCGTTCCTCAGTAGCGTCACCTCATTCTGCATGGGAAAACAAGACACGGGCGTATGCATCACTCACGCTCTTGGCAGCCGCCTCCAGCAACGGCGGGATATTGAATTGATGTGCCTTGCAAACTCACAACGTGTTGTCTGATCTGAGATGCCTCTGGCCCAAGAACACCAAAGTTTTTGGGTTTGGGGAATTGAATGTGAACTGAACCATTTCCCTCCAGCGGCCCCCACCGCTGGTTGCAAAGCCCCTCGTTATATTAATCACCTAATCGCCGTGTTAATCGCCTAATCCTGGACATACATTTGCCTCAGCTCTCCTGCTAATGCCAATCGCTGGTGTCAGACCCTGTTGGCTCCGAAGGGAAACCAGAGGGAGAAGCTGAGCACAAAACCAGCTCAGCCCAGGCCATGGGGGGACATCAGAGCTCGTTGAGCTCCTGGTGCATCCGGGAGCTTCTTCTGTAAACCAGAAAAACTTGGTGTGGCGCATTATTCCTCTACTGAAATGTTTGAGAAAGAGCTGAAATCCACTTAGGTGTATTTCCAAACTGCCCGAGGAATGAGTTTCTATAGTTATCTTGGGAAGAGAATAAAAATCCCATGATCAGTGCTATTGAGAAAGCCCCACCACACGAATCACCGGCCAGAAGTGAAAGAAAAAACCCAGAATGGACACGAGTTCGGTCTGTGCAGCCCCTGCAACCCTCAGCCAGTGCCGAGAGCACGAACAAGGGGCCTAGAGGCAATGGAAATGTGTTTTCAGATGTGCTGCACTTCTGCGAGGCATGCTGGGGGTGCTGCCAGAGAGCCAGGGAAAACCCAGTTCAACAGACAAACACCAGGATGGCTGCGGGCGGCAGCTGCAGAGCCTTCCCACTGCCAGGTTCACCACGCAGGGAAGGGAACTGGGACCATTTGTGCTGAGCCCATGCCAGCAGCGAGCTGGAGGTTTCCACTCCTCTGCTCCCGAGGCTGCTGTTGCTCCTGGAGCCTTGATGGGCAGCGGCAGAGCCTTTTTGAGGGGGATGGGGTGAGAAAGCAGAGCACTGAAGCGCTCTTCCCCCACAAGATGGGAAACAGGGAGTGAAATGCAGACAGGGAGGCAGCAATCTTCCTTTAGGATTGTCCTCCTTTAGGACAGGGAACTGCTGGAGAGAGTCCAGCGCAGGGCTACAAAGATGATCAAGGGAGTGGAGCATCTCCCTTCTGAGGAGCGGCTGAGGGAGCTGGGGCTCTTTAGTTTGCAGAAGAGGAGACTGAGGGGAGACCTCATTCATGGTTATAAATATTTAAAGGGTGAGTGTCACGAGGATGGAGCCAGGCTCTTCTCGGTGACAAACAATGATAGGACAAGGGGTAATGGTCACAAACTGGAACACAGGAGGTTCCACTTAAATGTGAGAAGAAACTTCTCAGTGAGGGTGACAGAGCCCTGGCCCAGGCTGCCCAGAGAGGTTGTGGAGTCTCCTTCTCTGCAGACATTCAAAACCCGCCTGGACGCCTTCCTGTGTAACCTCATCTGGGTGTTCCTGCTCCGGCAGGGGGATTGGACTGGATGAGCTTTGGAGGGCCCTTCCAATCCCTAACGGTCTGGGATTCTGTGATTCTGTAATCCTGCTCCAGAGAGCAGCATCCAAATGTGTGTCATCTCCACGGCATGGGGAAGATGTTCCCTCCGGAGCGGCGGTCCTGACGCTGGCAAAGGGCTGTGCTCAGCCTCCACGGTTACATACTCACGCTCAGCTGGATGTTCTGGGTTGTGAGCTCCTCTGCTTTCTTCTCCAGGGAGGACACCCAGAGCTTGCGTTTCTGCCGGCAGCGCGACGCCGCGGCCCGGTTGCGCTCCAGGAAACGCTGCCGGCGCTCGTCGGGGTCTTCGTCCACCGTGCGCCTCCGTCGCCCACCGGTGCTGGGGGTGGGCTGGGCAGGGGACACCTGGAGATGGGGAAGGTGACAAGAGAGACGCTGAAAAGAAGCTGAAGTGTGGGTGGGTAGACACACACTGAGGTTTGGGCCCTTGTGTTTGGGGCAAAAAGGGGTTTGGTTTTTGCAGAGCAGCTGGGACTGTATGGGGGGACAGCATGGCAGCCCTTGCTGCGATGACATCTGGGTCTGCAGCGCCCTAAAAACCTAAGGTGTGAATGCAGGTGAACTCTTGGAGATGCTAAACCCGTTGAATATGTGAATGTCAGGGGAAACAGCCAGATCCCAAGCTCCCACAGTCAGCTCATGGCATGTCAGCCACAGCAGAAGTTTCCTCCCCTCCACGAAGAGGAGCTAAGGTGGTAAACGACCACGGAAAAGGCAGAGAAAAGAGCCTTCCTTTTAATTTCTCTTAAGAGAAAGTGCTTTTTAAAACACTTCATGCTGCAATGACTTGGGAGATTCCCACACAGCCAGGTGATGGAGGTGCAGGGCTGGGAGCGCTCGATCCCGCTCTGACGCGCGGTCAAAGGGGTTTGGGTTCAGTCGCTCATACGCAGAGCCCAAATTACAGTTTGGGAGCGGGCGATTTGCTTGGAAAAATTACACTCGGGCGAAGAAGATTTGGTGAAAGCGGGAAAAGCGCGGCGTTATTTCGGGAGAACAAAGGGAAAGGCAGCGAGGGCGCACGGTCCCGCAGACGCAGCCTCGGCGGCGCTCGTGCGAGGGCTCTGTAATTACAACCGGCACGATCGGGAGCGCGGTTACACTTCGGTACTCGCTGTCAGGCAGCATATGGCCATTAAACTTTTGGAAGGCGAGCTAACTGACGGAGCAGGTGGCAATCCTGATGGAAGGCTGGCATTTGGTTCGCTGGCAGGAGCCGGTGGAGTTGATTGCCTGAGAGGGGAGCGTTTAACCCCAGTAATTGAGCGGGGAGAAAAGAGAGAAATATTCTTTCGAAACTCCAGACTTTTGTCAAGCAAATTAACGCGGCGCTGCAGTTTGCTGCCTGGTGGCGTTTGAGAGCGTTAGTGCCAAAGTGGCACTGAGAATACAAAGGTTTTAACCCATTCTGCAGACCAGGAAGCTGCAAGGTCTTTTCCCCCAAGGCCCAGGAACCCGCAGCGCCTCCAGCGCAGCCTCAAACCTGTGGCTGAGCTGGGGAAGGGGCATCTGGGTGCTGGACCAGTATCTGGCTCTGCTCCGGACGTGCAGTCACCATCGTGCTGGCTGAGCCCACCACCAGGTTGCTGCCGTTCAGTGAGGAAGACGCCGTCAAGCTGGCCTTCAGCCTCTGTTAAAGGAGAAAACAAGATGTCAGTGGACTCCTTCTCCATGATATTACAGCTTTAACCAGCTCGTCTGCCATCCAAGGAGCCAGGCCACGGGGGAATGAGCTCTTCAGGGACTGCGGCTGATTCAGATCCAACCAAAAGCCATCACCATCTGGCCTACCCAAAGACAAGGCAGCGGCTTCCAACTTAGGCCCAAGCGGACAGGTGTCCAAATCCTAAAATTGCTACTGCCACTGGCACCAATCCGCTCCCCAGCTGGCAGGGAACGAAAAGACCACGGACTGAACTGGCTGAGGAGTCCAACGGTCCCTGAGCACCCACAGAGGGGTCCTCCTGGGGGATCTGCACTCCCTCCTGCGATGGAGAAGGACCCACATGTGATGAAGACCATCCCAAGTTCCTTCTCTTGGCAGCCAGGCGCAGGCTAGCGGGGTGGGATGGCTGTTTCATGCCTCAGAGTTTTAAGATCTCTCACCCCAGCAGCACCTTTGAGCTGCCCATGAATCTCCTAAACAGGGTGTGACGGGAGCGGGAATGCACCCAAAACGGTGAGCAGCTCTGCTGTAAGAAATGGGTCTGAAAAGACGCAGGAGATGGGGTTTTCATCCCATCTTGGCCAAACAAACCAGGGGAATTCACTGCTCTTTGTTCCCAAATTTAGGTTTGCTACCCGTACTCTGCGTAGTTTGAGCTGTGAAGAGCCAGGGGAGGAAAATCCTTCAGTAAACTTTTAGTTAAAGAGGTCTACGTGAAAAGCACGAGCAGGATCCTTGGATCACAGCGCAACATCTCTTCTCTTGGCTCTGCCGCCCTCAAGTCCACCTCCAGCCCATCTGTCAGCTTGGAACGAGAAGCGCCAGCTTTACCAACCGGCCACGTTCGGGATGGGGCTGAGGTTTGTCGTGACAGCAGCGAGCCTGTGCTGCCTGCCAGAGCCGCAGTGCTGATGACGGCAACGGTCCCGGTGCCGTTCCTGACACCTGCTCGCCGTGCGGGGAGGCGCGGAGCAGGATTTCGGAGAAGCAGCGGCTGTTTGCGAAGGCTGCGGGGAAAAGGCCTCCAGACGGAGCCTCTTCTGGAGGAGCCAGTGAAGACTTAGGGACATCGCCGTGAATGTGACACCACCATGGATGTGACACCACCATGGACATGAAACCACTGTGGATGTGACACCACCATGGATGTGACACCACTGTGGATGTGACATCACCTTGGCAGTGACACCACCGTGGATGTGACACCACCGTGGATGTGACACCACCACGAACATGAAATCACCATGGATGTGACACCACCATGGACATGAAACCACCGTGGACGTGACACCACCCTGGCAGTGACACCACTGTGGATGTGACACCGCCGTGGACATGAGACCACCATGGATGTGACACCATCATGGATATGAAACCACTGTGGATGTGACAACACCATGAATATGAAACCACCGTAGATGTGACACGACCGTGGACGTGACACCACCATGGATGTGACACCACCATGGACATGAAACCACCGTGGATGTGACACTACTGTGGACGTGACACCATCGTGGACGTGACACCACTGTGGATATGAAATCACTGTGGACGTGACACCACCATGGATGTGACACCACCATGAACACGAAACCACCGTGGATGTGACAGGACCATGGATGTGACGCCACCATGGACATGAAACCACCATGGATGTGACACCACCGTGGACGTGACATCACCATGAACACGAAACAACCGTGGATGTGACACCACTGTGGATATGAAATCACTGTGGACGTGACACCACCATGGATGTGACACCACCATGAACATGAAACCACTGTGGATGTGACACCACCGGGGATGTGACACGACCATGGATGTGACAGGACCATGGATGTGATGCCACCATGGACATGAAACCACCATGGATGTGACACCACCATGGATGTGACACCATCGTGGACGTGACACCACTGTGGATATGAAATCACTGTGGACGTGACACCACCATGGATGTGACACCACCATGAACATGAAACCACCGTGGATGTGACACCACCGTGGATGTGACACCACTGTGGACGTGACGCCCTCACCAGTGTTGGATGGATGTGACGCCCTCACCAGTGTTGGACACTCACCATTTTGGCTTCAGAGTGCACTGGAAGTCCTGACGGCGACAGGGACCCGCTGCTGTTGATGGGCGGCCCAGGAATCCCGGGAATGTTGGGCACCATGGCCATCGGCCGCGCCAGCTATCGGGGAGGAAGCAACACATGGGTTTTGGGAGCCGAGCTGCTTTTGCTGCGCGAAGCTGCCCTGTAATAATTCCCCACCCAAGCACATTTATAAATCTTGACAAACGCTCAGCGTTTAACCACTGCCATCAATCACGTCTGCTGTCACCAAAGGCCAGCAGCCGCTCCTTTGGTGGCCACGGTGGCTGTTTGGGAAGTGCCTGGCCAAGCCTAGCGCTGAGAACAGGGAGAGGGGCAGCCCTAAAGCCTCCGTCCTTCCCAGAGGGCTTTTCCCCACCAGTATTGGGGGGCGGACGGAGAGGGAGGGTACAAGATCCCCTCTGGTTCTCTGCAACAACACCAAGGGTAAGGCACAGCATCCCCTCCTAAACACGGTGAGCTCTCTCCCTCACCAAAGAAGGGAAAGTATTGAATTTACAACCACCCAGGTACCGTTTCCATGCCCACAAGCTATGCCTGTGTCTGCCTGCTTTGATCTCAACTTCCCATGACCTGAGGCAGGAGGTTTTGAGACTGCATCTGGAATATTGTGTCCAGTTCTGGGCCCTCAGTTCAAGAAGGACAGGAACTGCTGGAGAGAGTCCAGCGCAGGGCTACAAAGATGATCGAGGGAGTGGAGCATCTCCCTTCTGAGGAGCGGCTGAGGGAGCTGGGGCTCTTTAGTTTGCAGAAGAGGAGACTGAGGGGAGACCTCATTCATGGTTATAAATATTTAAAGGGTGAGTGTCACGAGCATGGAGCCAGGCTCTTCTCGGTGACAAACAATGATAGGACAAGGGGTAACGGACACAAACTGGAACACAGGAGGTTCCACTTCAATGTGAGAAGAAACTTCTTCTCAGTGAGGGTGACAGAGCCCTGGCCCAGGCTGCCCAGAGAGGTTGTGGAGTCTCCTTCTCTGCAGACATTCAAAACCCGCCTGGACGCCTTCCTGTGTAACCTCATCTGGGTGTTCCTGCTCCGGCAGGGGGATTGGACTGGGTGAGCTTTGGAGGTCCCTTCCAATCCCTGACGGTCTGGGATTCTGTGATTCTGTGATTTTGGCCGTTCCTCGCTCAAAACGCAACGCAGGGCTCACAGGGGCTCGAGCTCGAGCTGCTCACAACGCAAATCTGCTCTGATATGAAAAATTCTCCCTATGTGAAAAGCTCAAGGCTGATATTCAAATGACTCCTGTGCACGCCGGCGAGGTTAGGGTGCTTTTCCTGGCTTGTGAAGCCCAACATGTTCTCGGCAAGCTCGAGCGGTTTCATTCGAGGCGCCGCTCCAAATGGACGCAGCTAATCAGGGATCCTGCAGCTCCCAGCCCTGGATCAATGGCGGGAGCCATCTGTCCAGGCGAGGCTTTGCTTTTTTCCACACTCATTGCCCTCTAGTGTGATGGACACGTTATTGCTGCCTCGCCAGAGCTGCCTCCCGCCCTCCTCCTCCTCCTCCTCCTCCTCCTCCAAGCCTTCTCTTGCACAGAGGGGGAGATATGATTTAATTTTAACAAAATGGAAGAGTCTGCGTGGATTTGGCAGGGGGAAGAAGCGCTGTCCTGCGCTGAGGAGCGGAGCAGTGCTGGAAGTTTTGCTCACCGATATGACAGAAGGCATCTGCACGGGAGGGCCGGGGAGGACGGGCATGGTCTGTCCATTTGCGAGCTGCACGACGAGTGGAAGGGACCCTGTGGGAGACCTGGAGAAACAACAATTCAATTCTCCTGGATTATTTCAAGTTTACTCTGCCCTGGCAGCCCCGTGAACTCCAGGGCAGAAGCAGGAATTAATTCTGGTTCGTGGATTCGGGCTTGTTTTCCCATCTCTGAATGGGTTTGTGAGGGTTTTGCTTTCCATTAATGTTGACTCCAGAGAAAAACTCCTAAATCTGGAGTGGCTGCAGGGCTGGCTCGTGTCTGCCCCAGCAACGGCGCTGGGAACGGCCCCGCTCGCTGCTGGAGCCTAATTGTGGCAAATAAAAAACACCGAGCACTTTTTCGGTTGCAGATCACTGCAGCGACAGGTGACGCCGCTGCCCGCGCTCACAACCGGGCACACGCACCCCTGCCTCCGTTTTGGGGCATCACAAACCCCTGCGGGCTCCAGCTCTGACCCTCCAGGCTCAGCCTTTCCAGGAGAGCAAAGGAAAAGGCAGGGATGAATCAAGGATGATCTGGGGAACTGCTCCAGACGATGGGGAGAGGAAGGGATAAGGAAACCGGTCGCTGCCAGCCAGGGCTGATCTCTCCTGCTCCTCCTCAGCTCACGACAGCGCAGCCGGGAGCCGAATGGAGGCAGAGATGAGCCAGGGAGAGAAGAGCGGAGCTGCTGGGAGCCTGATTTTGGGGGCGGGAGGGCAGAAATGCGCTGCTGAGCTTAATTTGCAGAGCCCAGGGATGGGGACGGATGAGGCCGGGCTGCCTGGGATGTTCGGAGGAAGCTGCGCTGGCACGGAGTAACGACAGAGAGGGGAGAAGCAGGGGCCGTGGGTCAGAGCGGGGAGCGCGGCGCGCCAATAACTCAGGCTGGAATTTTTAAGGCTGCCTTGGGAACGCAGCGCGCTCGGCTCTCATTCATTTCTATTGGGCATCCCAAATCCTCCAGGCTGCTTTGAAAAGCCCAGCCTAACAAGGCGAGGTCACCGCCTCCCCTCCATCTCTGTCACGCTGACAATCCCCCCCCCTAATGCAGGGACCCTCGTGAAAGCCGCGGCCCAGCCGCACGTTCCTGTGCCCTAGGTGGGATCTACCCCGGTACAGGGGGCATAAAATCATAATAAAATCATATTAAAGTCTAGGTCTGATGTTTTCGTGCCTCCAAGCGCAAGGGGACTCGGTTCTAAACAGCCCCGTGGGTCTGGTTGGGGTTGCAGGAGGAATATAATGTCCTTTTTAAAACCCCAGGACAATCACTTAACCCCTTAATGCCACGAGACAGGATTTAAAACTTCCCGTCACGAAGGCTGGATTGATGGTGCCAGAGGGTCAAAGCGAAAACACACACAAAAATATGAACTGACAGCCGAAAAAAATGGCCCGGTTAATGTAAGGAGCCAGTCTCAAACAAGGGTAATTAGAAAGAGGCCGGGACCACAGCAAAAAAGCAGCATCCTGACACCAAAGAATAGAAGTGGGGCTAAATATACGTCTCCCGAGGGCTCACTGTAATGAGTTTCCTGCATCCTTCAGGCTCCTTTCTTTTATGTGCAGGGCTGGAGCTCCCTACCCTCGTAACCACCACGCGAGCGCTCTGGAGCCGCGGATCCGGATCGTTCAGGGGGCAGAAAGGAGCAGGTCATTAGATCTGCCGCAACAAACAGCTCCCGCGGCAGGAGCCGAGCGCAGAGGAGGGCAGCAGGTTGCTGAAGAGGTCACACTTGAGAGGCAGCAGCTGGCTGAGGAAATCCCAACGCCGTTCAAGAGCCAGCCCATTTCCTACCGTCGCTTTAACTGAGCTCTCTCCGCCGCATCAGGCTGCCAAAGCAGCTTGGGAGTCCTCAGTCAGGCCCCGTTCCCATCACAGACAGCGAGTGTTGTGTCAGCACGTTTGGGGATGGGGTTTAATTCCTCCCCATGGCGAGTTTTGCCTCGTTTCGTTACACGGCGACAATTAGTTCCTGCTTTCTGCACTCACACCCCATTCTGCTGTTGTAGACATTGCTACAAGGAGGCCCTTATGCCCAAGCAGCCGCAGCAGGGATCGCGGCACCTCGGTTGTTCGGATAATCAAGGAACTTATTTAGGTACCTAATTACTGCCCAGGAAGCCTGACGGTACAGGAGGAAAAGCTCACGTCTCTGTACTTACCCGAGCTGTCTGTTGGAGGGGGGAGCCTGGGTAATGACAGAGGTTGGGGAAGGCAGCGTGGGGTGGAGCGGGTCATAACCCAGGTGTAGCGGCAGCGAGCCCGGCCGCACGATGGTTGGAGTAGGCGTAGAAATGATGACGGGCTTGGAGGTGATCTCCTGGAGAGGATCAGCAGACAAAAGGAGACGCGCTGTTACTCGTTAGCTTAATTATCACCCGCTTTCTGATGGCTTCAAAGCAATTTAGGGGAAATTAAGGCACCTTCGCCACAGAAACTGAGGCCTGGAGGGGAGCAACTTGCCTCCAGTCAGTGACAGAAATGCAGAGTCCTGCCTGCAGCAGCCTCTGGGAAATGATGCCCTTCTCTGAATTACTGCTCCAGCCCTGGTTTGCACCTCTGGAGCGGGAAGTTGTTGGGATGGGGACTGTGTCACCTTGCTCTGATCTCCAGCCAGCCCCAGGACGTGGGGAGCTGGTATTGGAGAAGATGTGGTCTCAAGAAGATGCGTTACTCGCTTGGCTCTTTCACCCTGCAAAAGCACTCCCAGGGTGAACACCAAAGCTTTCTGCACCAGAAAACTTCAGGGTTTAAAGGTGTATTTCAGTGTGTATTTATGTAGGTTTTTCTCTTTCTTTCTAAACTGAGGGCAACCTCACAAGCCCAAACCAGGCCTTGGCACCCAAGCCTTGCTTTCCCCCGGAGATGGAGACACCAACACCTCAGGGCCACCCACCTTCTCCTTGCGTTTTGGCGACTGCGGGTCAGACGCGGGGCTGTCGGGCGGAGAAGAATCCACCTCCACCGGCTCCTCCTCCTTGATCTTGATGTCCGGGGTGGAGGGCAGGGACATGTCCAGGGCTCCGGCGCTCTAGGAGGAAAAGCAGCCCCGTGTGGAAAGGACAATTAGCTCGGATGGTTTGTGAAATATTTCCCAGAGGAAAAGCTGCAGCTCTGTGCTCTTGCCAAATTATTCTTATTTATTTGTACTCAAGCAGCATCTGGGAGCCCCAGGCGGAGAGCGGTGCCGCGCCGGCCCCGACCAAACAGAGACGGAGGCCGAGGAAAGCCGGTTTCTGCCCCAGATGGGCCCATTTTGTGGTTTCTCAGTAACACACACACACAATTCTTTCCCTGGGTTAGGTTTTTAGGGGTTTGTTTTTTTTCTTCATAAAAAGGCTCTGCAAAGGAGAACAGGTACCAAAGCCAAATGCCTGCGAGTTACAGAAGGCACTTTCATTCGCAGAAGAGCTGTAAAGCATTGTATAAATCAGCCCGAATTATTTTATGACCCGATTATCAAAAGCAAACAAAGAGCCATGCAAGTTATTAAATATCTATGAGCGCCCCATTAAAATAAAACCCAACCATATGCCTGCACCTGGCAACCTGCCACCCCCCCCTTGGGGTCCAGCAGCGCCACGTGCCCCATTTGAACCCGTTACCACGACTTGCTGGGGACGAGGGGGACAGGGTGACAACAAAATGTGAGGGGGACACGACTGAACTGGAGGAAGAGAAGATTTGGGAGCGGGATGTGGCGTTTGATGGGGCTCCAATAGCCTCAAAATCACCCGTTCGCTCTCTCCCTTCATCCTGGGCAGGAGAAACCCTCCCTAAATCAGCCCTGATGGCTGTTTGTCCATGATCAACCCCAGCCTTTTCCCTTCAGCCGCATGCTGACAGTTTGTCCTGGTCCCTAACCCAAACCTCCTCTGTTTGCTGAGTTTTAAGGCCTCTCATGGGAGGGAAAATTGCTGCAAGAGGGTAAATCTGCACGTTTAGGGATGCTCTCGAGCGGGGTGCGGCTCTGCAAGGGCTTTGCTTCCCGTTTACCGTTTACCTGCCCTCTTCAGCTCTGGGAATCGCAAAGGAGAAGGGATTAACATGCAGGGAAGTTTCAAACCACTTAAAGCGCCTCCGGGGAAGGCCCTGCTGTGCCGCTGGTTTTAATTAACTGGTGCGAGACCACCCTTGGAACTGGAGGACAAAACACAGCCGCAGCGAGCGATGCAGGCAAATGCAGCTCCGAAATGCGGCAGCGGCTCAGGGAGTGACAAAGGCATCTGGGCCAGGGGGTGACAAAGCCCTAGGAGGGGTAAAACCTTTCCTCAATGCCCGAAATCACCCCAAGCTTCACGTCAATGCTTTTAGAGGGGATATTTAGACTGCGTATTTAGGCCACAGTCGTCCTAAAGAGCGAAAAGAAAAATATACAAGGGAAACATCCACCGCAGGCTGAGGTAGCGCAGCCCAAGAGATGGGTGGTCTCACCTATAAAACGACTGGCTAGACTGTGGGCTGCGTTTCGACTGCGAAACCGCCAAGGAAAAGCTGCCTCCTCGCAGCGCTCGGGGGCTGAGAACAAAAGGCAAGGAACTGAGAGCAGAAAGCGCCCCTGCAGCATAGCAATGAGAGAGATCAATCCCTGCCTTAAAGAGCTCTGTTATTAGGAGAGCGGCTGAAAGGCAGTTTTCGGTTTTAATTCCGAATTCCTCCGCTCCCCATCTCGGGGAAGATTTACGCGGCCGCGCTCCCGCAGTTTATTTGTGAGCCGCGCCGCTGCCTGCGAGCATTTGTGCGTGCATACATCAATTTAGTAAATGCATGTGCCACTCCAAGAGCCCGAGACGCAGCTGCTGCTCCTCACAGGCCCGGCAATGGGGCTTTGGGGGTGGAAAATGTCCTTAATTAGCCGCTACCTGACGAGATCCCGTTGTCCTTCAGCCCCTCGGGTTGGCGGGGGCAGCCTGAGCCGATGCTGTGTGGGTGTGGGAGGGAGCTCTTTGTTGGAAAAAGCCTCCGTGGAGCCCTTTTCTCTGCATTCGCACGGTGCCACCGTTCAAACGCTAAAGCCTGAGCCTCTTCCCTGCCTCTCGCACCTTAAAGGCATCGCCCTGAAGGATCTTGATGCCCAGGGAAGCTCTGAGTGAGGTTTTTTTAACAGAATCCTGCTCTTTTTCTGCATCCCGAGGTATTTTGGGTATTGCCTTTTTTTATTTTGTAAATTATTTTTGGGAGTGCAAAGCCCAAGGAATCACAGACCACGAAAATCCGCTCTCACCAGGCCTTGTATTGCAGGACAGGCACCCGAGTTAACCAAATAAAGCCCCACAGGAACCAGCACGTTAAATCCAAGAGCACATTTGGTTCCCCTACAACCAAATGTGGTTGTTCCCTTTCAACACAACGGCCCCGCTCCAGCACCCCCCTAAAAATGCGCCCGGCTCCGTTTTAGGGCACCGGTGGCCTTTGCCTCTTGCCTTTTTCTCATCATCCTCGGCAGCTTTCTTGAACTCGTGCTCGAAGGAGCTGGCCAGTTCATTGAAGAGTCCCACCTCCTCACAGTTCTTCAGGAACCGGGTTGGGGTCGGGGTCTGATCTGTTTGGGTCGTAAACACCGAGAATTAGGCAAAGAGAAGGGGAGAAAAATTCATCTGAACCACCTCAGTCCTCTCCGGGGACCCCTTTGCAAATGTTTCGGATGCTTTTCTGCTAAGGTGCAGGTTGTGTTCATAAAGCAAGCGACAATTTGCAAAGGGGAAACGGTTTCTGGTTGGTTTTGTTAGTCTGGAAAATGCTGTTTAGAAGAATTATCATTATCAGTGTGAAATCTCTGCCTTTGGGTCGCGTCCTGTCCCTCCCACCCTGCGTTTTTTTGCCTGTCCTCAGCAAGGAAAGGAAAACAGCGAGGTCTGACCTCCCTACAACAGCAAATAGAGGGATATAAATATTAAAAATAGGGAGTGATGAGAGGGGAAACGGCTGACGGGAGCAGCGCGTCCTCGGACAGCGGCTACGTGGGAGTGTTAACGGTGACCACCACAGCGAGCCCACTGGGACCAGTTTGGTAGGAACACGTGGAGCTGTGATCCCTGTGGCCATCACCAGGCTCTAAAGCAGAGAGAAATGTCCCAGGCAAGCATCATTTTTCTGCCTGACGTTAGGTCAGGAGTCTGGTACCTGCAGGACCCCTGCACGAGTGCGTTATATCCAAATAATCCATCGGGCAGCAAAGCAGAGAGGTTTTGAAGCATAAAAGGGGGTCCCTGGGATGCTTTTGCCTGACCTTCCTGCATAAAACATCAGCTGTTTGGCACGGATGCTCCCTGTTTGAGCTGTGCTTGAGCCGCAACATCTATGGCAAATCAAATCCCAGGTGGTGGGGAGCCTCGAGAGCCTTCGGGAAGCGGCTCCAGCCGTTACGTTGCAGAACTCCGCTTCATTTCCAGCCTGACTTCAAACCATAAAGCAAAGGCCTCCTCTGAGCACACTTCAGCTCCCCCCAAACCTCTCTTCATTAAACCAAGGAACTTCGTCAACTCAGGATCACAGCAGGAGGCTTTTTCCGGTGCTTTAGCAGCTCCTGGGGCTCTTTTCGGACCATTCCCCGTTTAGCAATGTCCTTGCGAGCTCGGGGCCCAAATTCTCCCAAATCAAACCTCTCTCATCCCATCCTTCCCCAATTTGGACCCCCAGGGATTGCAGCAGCTCCTGCGCCCCCGGCATCGCCCCAGAAGGGCTCGTTCCCATTGAAATAAGGCTCTGGGCTCCAACCAGAGCACAATTCTTTATGGCTCTCCTCAGCTTGGTTACGGCCGGAGACGTTGGCTGAAGCCTCCCTTCATTAACACACAGGATCAGCACAAAGCGAGAGGGAGGGAGAAAACCCAGAGCCAAGAGGATGGCTTGAAAATAAATAATAATTCAAAGAAAAGGAGGTTAGGAATGTAGGGCAATCACACCCTGGATCTCATTGCTTTATAGCCCTTGCAAACCCCCCCTGGCAGCTAAGCCCGTGTTAAAGAGGCTGATCTTGCGCTGACCACAGCTAAAGAAGTTTGGGGGTATTTGTGGTGCTGGGAGAGGGCTCAGACCCGCCCTGGCTGCTGGTCCTTGTGCTCAAATCGCAGGGTTTCAGCCCATCCATGGAGATCTGTGAGCAGGAGCTGTAAAAATCAGGGGTTTGAATGCCACATCCCTGCTCCAGCAGCAGGGCTGGGGCTGGAGATGGGAGTGTACCCCAATTTCGCTCCCCCATCACCACCCTGGGGTCACCAAGCAAAAGCCAAGCCTGCCCCTGCACACCCTGCTTAGAAAGGGGGCGAACAGTGGAGAAAAAGGACCCCAAATTCTCCCGATCCCATTTGAAATTCATTCTTCCCCTGGGAGCAGCTTTTTCCCTTCCAGCAAAGGCTCGGACGATCCCCACGGCTCCGATTCACTGGAAGCCTTCACAAAACCAATTTAAATGCTATTTCCCACTTCAAGGCTGGATTTGGGCTGGAGATGAAGCCGTGCAGAGGATGCCAGACGCTTCGTTTTCCCTAACGAGCTCGGAAAAGCGAGCGTTTCCTCCTCTCACCTTGTTCTCCGCAGCAAACCTTGCGCTAAGAAACCCGAGCGAATGAGGAGGCAGGAAAGGATCCGTAACCTGAAATCATCTGCTGCCGGACTATAATAGAGATATTTGGGGTTTTTTTTCCCAAAAAAAATCTGATAAAGGCTGCACTGACCGACTCGTTTGGGCTCTGTGAATGCGCTCCCGGCAGCAGCCAACGCTCGCTGGGGTTTTAATTTATTAACTGGGAGGCGAAACGCTCGGGAAAACCGACACCCGGGCGAAGGAGAGGAAGCCGGGTTTGTCCCATTTTGTTCATCGGCCTCCGAGCACAGGCGGGAACGCGCGAGCCCTTTCGGCCGTAAATCTCTCGGCCGTAATAAAAAAAAGGGGCGAGAGCCGAGAGAGGAAAAAAAAAAAGAACAACCCTTAAAAAAAAAAAAACCAACCACCCACCCCTTGCAAAACCTGATACTACCATAAAAAACAGGGGGGGGAAAGAAAAACCACCCTAGAAACTTGGAAGCCTCTGGCTTTCCTTTCCTCCTGATTAAATGCAGATCACAAGAGGTTTTTATGGGAGGTAGAGACGTTTTTCAGTGCATCTGGTCCCTGGTATTAATCTTGCAGTCATGCTATATTAATGTGCACCATTTTCCGAGCTGGCCTGGGTTGAGCGCCACATACCTGCGATGATGACTGAGTCGGTGCGAGCAGGGCCGAATTTCAATGTCATCTCATGCTTGTGTTTATGAACCGCCAGGTGGTCCTCGTTCGTAAACCTCTGAAACGAAACCATTTAGAAAACGGCGAATGAATAAATGCGTTTGGGGCTTTACGGGTGCATCCTGCGAGCAGGGCGGCAGTGGTGGTGGCGGTGGTGCTGGTGGTGGTGGTGGTGGTGGTTGGGGCAGGGAGGGGAACGGAGCAACCAGAACGCGATCGCTGAGCGAAACCAGAGCGGGGCGAATTGTTTGAGATGCACTTTGCTCATAATTAAAAAGCCATTCTGGGGAACAAAGATTTGGGATAATAATCTGGGGTTTTGGTTAAAACTTGGGGTTTTCTTTTAAGCGGTGAGGCCGATGTAGGAAACGCAAATGCGCTGCTTTATTGCCTGCTAACGGGGGAGGTGAATTAGGCGTTGTTAGGGCAACTTTTTGGGGGATGCAAAGCCCGGCCATTGGGGCCGTGGTTTTATGGGGCAGGACGGAGGTGGCTGCTTGCGGCTCTTCGCAACAGCACGGAGCTGCCCCGGTAAACCAAGGAAGGGGCTAACACATCTCAAACACCTCAAATTTCCACCTGCGGCACGATTCGGGGCTACAAACCCGCCCCATGGTGGCTTCGGGGACGCGCTGGGTGCG